TTTTAGCCTCTGGCTCACAGATTTTTTTCTCAGCTCAGGAAGGATGGCTCCAGAGCACACTGATTTAATGCAGCAGCCAAACTGCTCGCTCAGACGTTTAATGCCAGTAGCTCACAAAGTAGAATTTTTGCTCACAAGTCTCCACAGCTTAGAGGGAACATTGCTCACAGGGTGTCTGTTGTGGGGAGAGGAAGGGAAAGGGATTGTAAGCTCCACTGAGACTCCTTCAGGTAGTGAAGGGCGGGGTATAAATCCAATATCATCTTCTTCTCTAAATAAACGTTCTATAAATCCTAATTTATACTAAATCCTAACCTAAGTAAACAGTAATAATTTAGAGAGTCCAAAGAGAACTGCGGGGGTGGGTGGGAGAAAGACATACCAGCCTGTCCTGATGAGTGAAAACTTGCAGAGCTCATCAGAGGAAGGAGAAAGTGGCATGCAAGAAGGCAAGACGGAGGAGCTGAGTGTGATCTTTACAGGCACTTGCACTGAGATAGCAGGCCCAGTGCAGAGGCCTGTGCATATTCCCCACTTAGGGTTGCCAACTCCTGCTTGGGAAATATGTAGAGATTTTGGAGGTGGAGGGTGGGGTTTGGGGAAGAGGTGGGACCTCAGCAGGGCATAATGCCATAGAGTCCACCCTCTAAAGCAGCCACTTTCTCCAGGAGGATTGATCTCTGTCATCTGGACAGAAGGAGAGGAGAGATTGGATTTACACCCCACCCTTCACTCCCCGGAGGTGTCTCAGAGTGGCATACAACCCCTTTCCCTTCCCACAACAGACACCCTGTGAGGTAGGTGGGGCTGAGAGAGCTCTCTTGAGAACTGCCCTCGAGAGAACTTATGACTGACCCAAGGTCACACCAGCAGCTGTGCGTTCCACATGTGGATTTTGGAGCCAGTTGCTGGAGCCCAATATTGAGATGGGAACCAACGACTGGAATACGAAGGCTCAGATTCTTGGGGCTAACTTTATACCTCAGAAGTGTGAAGACAGAGGGGGATATAAGAACAGTAAGAAACAAGGAGGGGGGAATTCAGCATATCAACATTGGGGGCTCAAAGCAGCTGTTGTATTGCAAAGGAACTTCAGGAACAGACTAGAAAGGGAAATTGCTGAACTGCAAGTTATTCCAACACTCAGAACAATGGAATCCCCAGTACTTAACAGGGATATTGGTTTCTTATCTCATTACATATGCTAACCTCAGTCAGCCCTGTACCTGTATTCTCACCAAGCCCCCAGATGGGCCATGCATCCGCTTTCTTTTATTTCTTATTTGGAATAATAGATTAGAATAGTAAATTGTAACGTAATGAATAGTAGAACGTAATGTAATTTGAAATGGTAGACTGAAATGCATTTCTCTGGTCTGGGGACAAGGGAGATGCTCTACACAGCCATTCACCCCACTTCAAGAGAAGAAATGCTGTAAGGTCGCCTCCATGCTTGAGAGGAGATGGATGGAGTGTAATGGCAGGGTCTCAGTTAATTACTCTCAGCATTCCACAATTAAGGATACATCTGCCCATCAATGATAGAGGTTTACAAAATTATGCATGGGATAGAGAAGGCAGAGAAAGAAGTACTTTTCTCCCTTTCTCACAATACAAGAACTTGTAGGCACACAGTGAAATTAATCAGTAGGTTTAGAACAGATAAAAGGAAGTACTTCTTCACCCAAAGAGTAATTAACATGTGGATTTCCCTGCCACAAGAAGTGGTGGCGGCTACAAGCACAGAGAACTTCAAGAGTGGATTATATAAACATACGGAGCAGCGGTCCATCAGTGGCTATTAGCTGCAAGGTACAGGTGCTATGTCTGGGGCAGTGATGCTCTGTATTCTTGGTTCTTGGGGGGGCCACAGTGGCAGGGCTTCTGGAGTTCTGGCCCCACTGGTGGACCATCTGATGGCACCTGGTTTTTGGCCACTGTGTAACAGTGTTGGACTGGATGGGCCAGTCCTGATCCAAAATGGCTTCTCTTATATTCTCAATCTCCAATTTTGACATATTTCTTTCACTGTCTTTTCCCCAAGAATTAAGCCCAAACACATGGTAACCATATAAAGTAAGCTTGTTATTCCTGTTTGGTCCTTGAGTCGGTTGTGAAACATCTTCATTATGCTGCATGCTAATTTGCTGCTCACCCTCTATGTATGGACTGGTAACTGCCATTTCAATGTATCTGAGGAAGTGCGCGCGCACACAAAAGCTTAATACCTTGAACAAAACTGTTGGTCTTAAAGGTGCCACTGGACTCAAACTTTGTTCTGCAGCTTCAGACTAACATGGCTACCTGCCTGGGTCTATTCTCTCTCTGATGTGGTATGACTTGCTGTGCAGTATTTCCATTCTGCCTCCATATTACAGGAATACATTCCAATCTACTATTCCAAAATCTGATAAAGGCCAAATTAATAAAATTAAAAAGGATGCCTAGACCTCCTGAAGAACTGGTGAAGGGTTCTCAGCTATGCCCTTAAGTGCCGATCTGAGAGCCTCCTCATGGTGTAGTAGTTCAGTGGTTGTCTGGGACAGTGGCATCTAGACCACATTGCACACACTTTGGGTTATGTTGCAGAGAAGGACACTAATTTATTCTTTTCACTTTCCACACAAAACCCATTGTCCAACAGCCAACTCTACTTGCAACAGGATCCCATTTCTCCTGATCTGGACATTTGCTGGTAGAGCTTTGCCAGCAAAATTAAGCCTTGAAGCAAATTACAAACTGCAGCAAACACGACGCAACAAGGAGGTGAGTCTTTTCTTCCCTAATGAACACCTCTTGGGTTACACTGGTGCCATTTCTTCCAAGGCATGCTTAGAGATACAGTCTATCCCCTAGATGAGTGGCGGGTGCACAAGAGATTTTAGCACAAGAGGTAGTGTGCTTTGTGGCAGAGACTATGTAGCATACACATAACTCATTTACAGGATCGAAGCCAGAGCCATTGAC